GCTCTAGACAACCATGAAACAAATCCTACAGCCTCATTCGGACAGGGAACCAAGCCAACAGTCCTAGCCACCTATTCTGAGCCACTGTCACCACCCTCCAACCCCCAACCTCAGAGTCCAGAAAGTGGCCCCACCCCAAAATTGCAAGCCCCATCTGCCTGAGAACATTATCAGCTGAAACATCCAGAACACCAAGCCAATAGGACTGGTGAAAAACTGTCTCTGCCAAAGTGAACCTGGGTAGGTGCGTTTCAGGTCTATGCCAAAGGATTCCAGCTTCTCTTCAGGTCATCATATCGCAGGAAATTGAGGGGTGACAGATAAACCTGGGTTCCAATTTGTCCCCATGGGTTCCAATTTGTCCCCATGGGTTCCAATTTGTCCAAACTAGTGGAACCTAGACTTTTTGGGGGCACAGCTGTATCTGAGTACAATGTGGCAGACAGAACCCCTTTACATAATGTTCCAGAGGGTCTGGGGCTCATTTTCTCAGCATGAAGCCAAAAGTCAGGTGAAAAGTTCCTTAAAGTAATACTTGGCCTTCCATTTGGGAGGGTGGAAGGCTGGTGATAGGAAAGAGAAAACTATTCAAAAGTCTGAAGCCCATTAAGGAAAAGTTTCCTTTTGTATGTTTTTGGGGATAAATGAGGAAGAAAAAGTGTTGGAGATCCGGTTTTGGTCCGATCCCGCAGGCCAGGCAGAGGGACCCCACTGGTGGACGAATTCGTGCACTGGGCCTCTAGTATTCTAAATAAAAATCTGACATTATCTATGCAATGGACACTCCCATGGCAATTCTCCAAAGGAAAGTGGCCTTCCATTCAGGCCCCTGTACTTATCAGGCTCCTCAGGACTAAGGAGATGTCAGCATGTAGTCCAATGTGGCTGAGTCACAGGACATATGACTCTGTTCTTTACCAGCTACATGGAACAGGTCTACTGCGGGCCCTCGGCTCACTGTTATTCACTATCTCCCGGAAGCTTGACTGAGAAACAGATTTTGGGAGGTTATCCCTCCCTCTAGGACTAAGCTAAGCCCCTAGAAGCGGCAGGTGGGGCCATCTTGTTTTGCCCAGCCTCCTTTAGGGCAGTGGCTTTTCTGCACTAACCCCTGGCTGGGCCCCTTGGCCCCCACTGCAGGCACTATTTAAGGAAAAGCATTGTGAGTATTGCTGTAGTTACAGAGGTATGGTTGATGGTTGGCTGTTGACACCACTACGAACATGAGAGAACATGAGAAGGTATGGGAACACTACTCCAGGACTCAGAACCAGGGATACTTGTGCATCTAGAACATGTTTATTTTTACCTCACAGACTCTAAATCATACCATTGATGATCTTCCATTTTGCTTTTGCTGCTATAAAACTCAAATTTGGGGCTTATTTCTGGAATCACATTGTCCAAGAGAACTTTCTTTCATGATGGAAATTTTCTGTATTTGTGTTATCCAATATGGTAGCCAGTAGCCATATGCAGCTACTGAGTACTTAAAATGTGTCTACTGAATTTTAAATTTTATTTAATTTTAATTAACTTAAAATTTAAATTTAAATGGCCACACATGGCTAGTGACTACCAACTTACAGCACAGCCTTAGACAGCATATAGAAAATCACAGGCATTTTGGATGTCACACTTGGTTTATCTTACTTTCCTATCAATATTTTCCTCTACTTCAAATCCCTTGGGTATCTAATAATATTTACTAAACTTATTGTGTGGTTTATATCTTTGTCAGCCATCTTAAGTCTTGTTTTAAAAATGTGAGATCTGCCCTAACTGGTTTGGCTCAGTGGATAAAGCGTCGGCCTGCGGACTCAAGGGTCCCAGGTTCGATTCTGGTCAAGGGCATGTACCTTGGCTGTAGGCACATCCCCAGTAGGGGGGCGTGCAGGAGGCAGCTGATCAATGTTTCTAACTCTCTATCCCTCTCCCTTCCTCTCTGTAAAAAAATCAATAAAATATTTTAAAAAAAAATAAAAATGTGAGATCTACCTACAAGTACAAAAAAATTAAAACATACCCATATTCCCAACTTTTTAGACTAGGTACTTCTCCCCATCTTTAATGAAACATAGAGTAATATGTTCATTTAAGGCAGGGGTGGGGAACCTTTTTTCTGCCAAGGGCACCTTGGATATTCATATCATCATTCATCAGGTATGCAAAATTATCAACTTAAAAATTAGCCTGCTACATTTGATCAAACATTTAATTAACTCACCCCTAATACCTTGACAGGGCCAGGCCAAATGATTTCGAGGGCCTTATATGGCCCCTAGGCCGGATATATTCCACCCCTGATTTAAGGGAAGGGAGTCCCAGGGGTGCCTCTGTGTCTGTTCTGTTTCTTCATCTGGATTCTGCTCACACAAATGTTCAATTTGTGAAAATTCACTGAGCTGTATATTTATGATACATACACTTTCTATATGATATAATTTATATTACCCTTCAATAAAAAGTAAAGAAAAACATATAAAGAGAACTGATTATGTTTATAATGTTATTTTAGTTCAAGGAGATGTGGATTCACAAACACAGACCTTGATTCCAAGAAAACTACAGTTTAGTATTAATGCAAATTTCTCAGATGCCTTTTTCAGAGGGATCTCAGACAACCTCTGATAACACCTTCTGCCTATTCCTCTGAACTAGCAATGCCAAGAAAGATGGGGAGATGAGTTTCAGGAGTAGGAAGGCTTGCTTTCTATCTTATCATATCTCAGTAAAAAACATTTCCAAATTCTTATAATGAGTAGCTCCCAGAAAAGAACCTCTCAGCTTTTCTCCTCCAGAGGAATTAAATGGGAGGAAGAGGTCTCTGAAATATGGAATGTTAAATCAGTGAGGCAGAATGAGGAAATAAAATACAGTTTATACCTTGAGAAATTAAAAACTACCCAACAAAGATTTTTCTTCAATGTATAATTCTACCCAATCAAACAAAAGCATTTAATTAAAATTATAGTTAAACATGGAATTTGGGAAATATATACATTAATGAAAATGTAGATAAAAATGAGCTCTCTCAACTTCACCCTTCCCCCATGATCTAAATATCTTAATTTTGCTAAAGACTGAAACATAAATTTTTACTTTAAAAAGTTACTTAAAGAGATGGGCAGGTGTGTATCTCATGCTAGAGCAGAAGGTTTCTTTCTGTAGTGATGGAGTAACAGCAACCTGTTCAATGGCCATAATCAAAATTTATGAGGGGGCTATTAGTCATTTCTGCCCATATTAATTTAACTCCTCAATATCCTACTATTTTGAATAAAGACCTGCATTCC